TCTCGATCTCTTAACCTCGTAATCCGCCCGCCTCGGCCTCCCAAAGTGCTGGGATTACAGGCTTGAGCCACCGCGCCCGGCCTCAAAATTCATTCTTACTCCTTGCCCTGTTTTAGTTCTCTGTAGTAGGAGAAAAAAACTGGTGAGAAGACTTACCATATTAAACTTTCATGCCCATTAAGGCATATATATCACCCAAAATGTCATCCCCACACAATCTTACTTATCTCCTACTTCATTACAGCCTCTCTGTACCTTTTGCTTCAGCAAGGTAAATACTCTTACAGAATTCTAATTCTTATCCCTATCCCATCTATAAATAAAATAGATTATCCCTTCCTAACTTATTTAAAAACTGCATTTAAAATCTCCTTGAAGGTGGACGTGATGGCTCACGCCTATAATCCCACCCCTTGGGAGGACTGCATCTCGGTATCCCAAGCGGTGGGATTACAGGTGTGAGCCACCATTGAGCTCAGGGATTCAAGATCAGCCTGGGCAACACAGTGAAACCCTCTGTCTACAAAAAAACAAAAAAGTTAGCTGCATGTGGTGGCACATCCTGCGGCCCCAGCTACTTAAGAGCTCAGGTGAGAGGACTGCCTGAGCCAGGGAGGGCAAGGCTGCAGTGAGCCATGATTGTACTGCACTCCAGCCTGGGGGACAAAGCAAGACCCTGCCTAAAAAAAAAAAAAAGACAAATAAAATCGTGATAACACTTTCCTTAAGTGGACACTGATTCCATCATCTTTTAAGCAATCCTAGTCCCACAACACTATTACTGAAGTCTATACTGCATAGTCTTACATATTTTTTTTTTGTATTTGTTAGTCTTTTTTTTTTGAGACAGAGTTTCGCTCTTGTTGCCCAGGCTAGAGTACAATGGCATAATCTTTGCTCATCGCAACCTCCGCCTCCCAGGTTCAAGCGATTCTCCTGCCTCAACCTCCCAAGTAGCTGGGATTAAGGACATGCACCACCACGCCTGGCTAATTTTTTGTGTTTTTAGTAGACAGGAGGCTTCTCCATGCTGTTCAGGTTGGTCTCAAACTCCTGACCTCAGGTGATCTGCCTGCCTCGGCCTCCCAAAGTGCTGGGATGATAGGCATGAGCCACCACGCCCAGCCCTAATCTGTCTTATGCCCCCACTTAGTTGTAACGTCTGTCTCATTACTGAATTTACCATTATGTACCACATAACATTTTGGTCAATGACGGACCACATATGTAACAGTGCTTTTGTAAAATTATAATACAATATTTTTACTCTATCGTTTCTATGTTTAGATAGATACACAAAGATTTACTATGGCTTTATAACTGCCTACAGTATTCAGTAGAGTAACATTCTATATAGGTTTGTAGCCTAGGAGCAAGAGGATATATCATATAACCTAGGTGTGTAGTAGGTTATATCATCAGATTTGTGTAAGTATACTCTATGTTTGCACAATGACAAAATGGCCTAGCAATGCATTTCAATGCATTTCTCAGAATATACTATCTTAATTAATGACATATGTCTGTATCTGCATAACAGCCCCCTCTGCACTGTTATCATACCATATTTGAGAGATGAGGAGAAAAAGTGCCCTAATTATATGAGTGAAATTACTTTTCCTCCAAGCTCCTAATAGTTTCTCTAACATCTTATCAAACCTAAAAAACATAGTTTGTAGCAACATCTTACTGCTGTTACTATATGAGGCACACAATAAATATTCAGTGGTTTAGGCTGGGCGCAGTGGCTCACGCCTGTAATCCCAGCACTTTGGGAGGCCAAGGTGGTGGTGGATCACCTGAGGTCAGGCGTTCAAGACCAGCCTGACCAATATGGTGAAACCCCCGTCTCTACTAAAAATACAAAAATTAGCAGGGCATGGTGGTTTGTCCCTGTAGTCCCAGCTACTCCGGAGGCCGAGAGAGGAGAATTGCTTGAACCCAGGAGGTGGAGGTTGTAGTGAGCCAAGATCACACCACTGCACTTCAGCCTGGGTGACAAAGCGAGACTATGTCTCAAAAAATAAAAATAAATAAATAAATAAATTCAGTGGTCTACATAAAAATTAGATGAGATACTATCAGTGTAATGCAGAGGCTAAAAACATGAGCTATGTAATCTTAATCTACAAGTGTTTTTCCTTTTTTTTTTTAAGACAGAATTTCACTCTTGTTGCCCAGGCTGGAGTGCAATGGCGCCATCTTGGCTCACCGCAACCTCCGCCCCCTGGGTTGAAGCTATTCTCCTGCCTCAGCCTCCCCAGTAGCTGGGATTACAAGCATGCCCCACCACACCTGGCTAATTTTGTATTTTTAGTAGAGACAGGGTTTCTCCATGTTGGTCAGGCTGGTCTTGAACTCCCGACCTCAGGTGATCTGCCCACCTTAGCCTCCCAAAGCGCTGGGATTACAGGCATGAGCCGCTGCGCGCAGCCTAAGTTTTTATATTTTAAAGACAAAAATGTTCACGATTTATTGTGTTCTACTTGGTGAGTTCACTACCTTTAAAAAAAAAAAATCATTCACTCAGACCTGTGAGAAAAAAAATATATATCAACCAACTACTCATACTAGTTGCTAAGGAGAGTTGCAAAGAAAGTAGAAAAAAAAACCCATCATTCCTACCCTTTCTAGAATGTGTTGGTCTAACAAAATATTCAGGAAGGAAATAAATGACAAGATACAGTACATGAAATAGTGAACACACAGAAAAATGCGTAAGCAGCTAGGCACAGTGGCTCACGCCTGTAATCCCGGCAAAATGGGAGGCTGTGACAGGCAGACTGCTTGAGTCCAGGAGTTTGAGACCAGCCTGAGCAAACTGGTGAAAGGCCATTTCCACTTAAAAAAAAAAAAAAAAAAAAAAAAAAAAAAAATTAGCTGGGCATAGTAGTTCACACTTGTAGTTCCAGCTGCTCAGGAGGCTGAAGTGGGAGAATCACCTGAACCTAGGAGACTGTGGCTTAAAGAGAGCCGAGACTGCACCAGTGCAATGCAGCCTGGTCAACCAGAGTGAGACCCTGTCTCAAAAAAGAAAAAAAAGTGTAAGCAATTCGTTTATAAATACATCATGCAGGCCAGGCGTGGTGGCTCACACCTGTAATCCCAGCACTTTGGGAGGCTGAGGTGGGTGGGTGGATCACCTGAGGTCAGGAGTTCAAGACCAGTCTGGCCAACATGGTGAAAATTCGTCTCTAGTAAAAATACAAAAATTAGCCAAGTGTGGTGGTGGGTGCCTGTAATCCCAGCTACTCAGGAGGCTGAGGCAGGAGAATTGCTTGAACCCAGGAGGCGTAGGCTGCAGCAAGTTGAGATTGTGCCACTGCACTCCAGCCTGGGTGACAGAGCGAGACTCTGTCTCAAAGAAAAAAAAAACACATATATATATATACACACACACACATACATATATATGTCTACATATATGTATAAATAAAATGCTGTACATTAATAACTTGGTAACTGTGTGTTTTGTGTGTATTCTCTATATATAGTATATATTCACACACACACACACACACACACACACACACACACACACACGTACAAAATCAGACTTTCCATGTCAGGTTCTAAATTACCTGCAAATTACCTGCATGTAGTTTTCAGGGGTTATTTTTTATTACTCTTAGGTCTACAGAGTGGTTATTATAATCATGAAAGAGTTCCACAATCTTGTTGTTTTTTTCTACTTCCCAAATTCTGCTGACACCAATAGTGTATTTTCCTGTACACTCACAAGCAAAAATAAAAAAAGTAATCAAATATAGTTTTTCACTTTGCATTTTTTACATAACATGTCAGGCTGCCTACTAGTAACAAAAGTTCTATTTCTTTCTTTGTTATCTTATGCTATGAATTTAAATTTCTTGCTTTACTGCACTGACTAGGACTACATATAAAAAGCTGGGTAGAAGTGGTGGTAGCAGACATTCTGTCCACTCCCAATTACACAAGGGAAGTTTTCAATAATTTATCATTAAGATGTTTTCTAGGGACAGCAGGGGGTGGGGAGTTGGGGAGATATAACATGGGGGCAAATGCCAGATATAGGTGATGGGGAGGAAGGCAGCAAACCACACTGCCATGTATGTACCTATGCAACAATCTTGCATGTTCTTCACATGTACCCCAAAACCTAAAACGCAATAAAATATATTTTTTAAAAAAAGATGTTTTCTATAGATTTTTTAGATAGGCACTTTCAATTAGATTAAGAAAGTTCCCTTGTATTTCTAGTTTGCTAAGAGTTTTAGTCAACTGCTCTTTTCTGTATCTATCAAAGTTGCCACATGTAATTTCTCACTTTTTCCCTATTAAGGAAGATTACATTAATTAATTTAAAAATGTTAAATCAGCTTTATATTTCTACATTAAATCGCAATTTATTACATTGTATTATACTTTTTGTATATCATCAGTGTTAATTTATTAATGTTCTTTTGAAGATATTTGCATCTATGCTTGGGAGAAATATCAGTTTGCAATTTTCTTTTCTGGTGATGTCTCTGTACAATTTTAATATTAAAATTCTGGGCCGGGCGCGGTGGCTCAAGCCTGTAATCCCACCACTTTGGGAGGCCAAGGCGAGTGGATCACGAGGTCAAGAGATCGAGACCATCCTGGTCAACATGGTGAAACCCCGTCTCTACTAAAAATACAAAAAAATTAGCTGGGCATGGTGGTGCGTGCCTGTAATCCCAGCTACTCAGGAGGCTGAGGCAGGAGAATTGCCTGAACCCGGGAGGCGGAGGTTGCGGTGCGCCGAGATCGCGCCATTGCACTCCAGCCTGGGTAACAAGAGCGAAACTCCGTCTCAAAAAAAAATAAAAAAAAATAAATAAAAATAAAATTCTGCTACCCTCAGGAGAAAAATTCAGTATTTCTTTAACAGGGCCACTGTTACCTCTTCTATATCTTTCCTCTTTCATTATTTTCTATTCATACACAGTAGCAATTCCTCAAACCACCACAGCAATTCTAAATCCACAACTCCATACCTGGGAGCTGGGTTGCTTAGGCTCATCCATTCTCCCAGGAGACTCACTTCTGGCTCTGTGTCTCTCTGTCAAGGGAACAACACTGCCGGAAGGGCTAAATCTGTTGGAAGAGGAACATAAAGGGGACTAATAGAAAAGCAGTGTCAAAGAACTTGAAAAATGGTCATGTCGACCCTCTTTATTCTATGGTTGAGGAAAGGAGAATAAACTAAGCAACAGATAACTGAGAAATAGTTTCGTGGAATTAATACATAATCTGATTTGAAATAATAGGTTAGCCCTAGTAAATTCAATAAACACAAAATGTCATAACAGTAACATAACAGACCATATGAGCTAGTGAAGCCAAAGCTAAATATAAACTTCCTTCCTTTCATAAATACTGGGAGACCATAAAAGAATAAATGAAAACTAGGCCTATAATTTTGTTTCTTCTATTTAATTATCAGGTTTTTGGCTGTTTCTTCCCCCAGGTCCCAGGATAACCTGTTATTTGTTTTAGACTGTTGATATAGATCCTGAAGATTAAAAAATCTTTGCATTGAAGTTGCTATTACTTCTTCTTTTTTTGGGGGGGGGGTATGACAGAATCTTGCTCTGTTGCCCAGGCTGGAGTGCAGTGGTGCAATCTGGGCTCAGAGCAGCCTCTGACTCCTGGGTTCAAGTGATTCTTGTGCCTCAGCCTCCTGAGTAGCTGGGACTACAGCTACTATGCCCTGCTAATTTTATTTGTATTTTTAGTAGAGATGGGGTTTTGCCATGTTGCCCAGGTTAGTCTCAAACTCCTGAGCTCAGGCAGTTACCCTCCTTGGCCTCCCAAAGCATTAGGATTATAGGCGTGAGCCACCATGCCTGGTCTCATGTTTTCCTTTTTTTTTTTTTGAGATTGAGTTGGCCAGGCGAGGTGGCTCAGTAATTCCAGCACTTTGGGTGGACAAGGCGGGCAGATCATGAGGTCAGGAGTTTGAGACCAGCCTGATCAACATGCTGAAACCCTGTCTCTACTAAAAATACAAAAATCAGCCGGGCGTGGTGGCGCACACCTGTAATGCCAGTTACCCGGGAGGCTGAGGCAGAATTGCTTGAACCCGGGAGGTGGAGGTTGTGGTGAGCCGAGATTGCGCCACTGCACTCCATACTGCACAACAGAGAGAGAGACTCTGTCTCTAAATAAATAAATAAAATAGATAGGGTCTTGCTCTGTTCCCCAGGCTGGAGTACAGTGGCATGATCTCGGCTCACTGCAACCTCTGCCTCCAGGGTTCAAGCAAGTCTCCTGCCTCAGCCACCCGAGTAGCTGAGATTACAGGTACGCGCCACCATGCTCGGCTAATTTTTGTATTTTTAGTAGAGACGGGGTTTCACCATGTTGGCCAGGCTAGTCTCAAACTCCTGGCCTCAGGTGACCCACCCATCTCAGCCTCCCAAAGTGCTGGGATCACAGTCGTGAGCGACTATGCTGATAGTGATATTACTTCTGAATTTTTTTTTAACTTTTTTATTTCCATAAGTTATGGGGTTAGTGTTTGGTTACATAAATAAGTTCTTTGGTGATTCGTGAGATTTTGGTGCACCCCTCACCTGAGAACTTCTGATACAGTTCTAACATAGGAGGACAAGAAGTTCTATGCTCAAGAATATTTTAATAAGGACACAGGAAGCCAATACTCAAATCAAGATCACCCGAAGCCAGGCGCTATGGCAGGAGAATCTCTTGAACCAGGAGGCAGAGGCTGCAGTGAGCTGAGATCATATCACTGCACTCCAGCCTGGGCAACCTTCGTCTCAAAAAACAATAAAATAAAAAGATCACCTGAAGTGGATGCAGTATACACTATCTGAATCTCTGTGACACATTTGTTGCTCAAGACCAAACCAAAGTAATAGTTCTTTAGTCTTCTTTGCTCATATGGTCAATTTAAATTTATTTTTAGGAGGGGAAAAGAACAAATATTACCAATCTAAATTAGTAATATTTCTTTCAACTGGGACGTTCTCGCAATTGACTAAGAATAAAACTCATGGTATTTCCACCAAAAAGAAATGTTCTAATAAATACAATGTACTAAAAGAGAAAAGTAAGGCATAGGGCATAGTAGCACTGGTGAAAAAAGGGAGATTCTCAGGCCTGTGGTAGCAGCAGTCATCCAAGAATGAAAACAGGGAAGATACCATCACATGACAAGGGAAAAAAGAAATAAAAAATATCCAAAAAGCTTTTCTTCAGAATTAATATTTTACTAATTTGAAAAGAACAATTACTGCTGGTACCATTCTTCCTCTAATTTGGTAGGTGGGGGCAAAGAAAAATAAGCAGTGCTACAAAGCAAAGTGAGACTTCCCGAGGCCACCTAGGGGTGTGAGAACACACCAAGGAAGGGCAGTACTGCCAGGTTCCCAGCTGATGATCAGCTCCCTGCCTGGAATACTAAGGAAGCCCCTGGCAATTACTGATCCTAGTGTGGCTGCAAATGCCATACTGATTCATGGAAGTGCCTAACTTTACCACAGTTCTCACAACATTGTGAATATTTCAAGACTTGGAGCTTCCTGTTTTAAAAAAATAAGAATGCAAGTCTTTTGACGCACCTCCAGTTTCCCCAATGTCAACCTATTTTAACCAAGAAAATCGGGTAAGGAAGATGCTCTCTGTACTACAGAGGACCTGCTTTAGTGATGTCTACACAGCAGCCATTACATGGGAAAACAAAACCAAACCAAACCTACCTGTCAACTTCACTGCTTGTTGGCCGAGCCACCTTGGCTCCTGAAGACCCTAAAGCGTAATTTTCCTGTCCTACAGAACCATGGCCTGTGGTATCAATCACCATGGCCGTGACCTCCTCTGCACTACTCCCATCTTCTCCAGAAGGCTGATTCTCAGGCCCAAGCCACTCCTCCAGATTTTCAGTTTTGATGTGTACTGCTCCAAGAACTCTAACTTCATCATCACTCCGACCCCCACGATCCGCTACTCCTGTCTCCACATACCACTGTCCTGCTCGGTTGATCCGAAGAATGGGCTCCCGGCTCTCTACATCAGAACTTGGTTCAATGATCTGAGGGCTGGTGGACTCCTCAGGAGGACTTAGCTCTCTGATATCCATCACAGCACTAACCTGACCTCGCCGGTTTCCCTTTGGGGTATTATGTCGTGGGCTAAGGGAGCGGCTGAGATTTGGGGTAACCCTGTGAGACTCTGGAGGTCTCTCTTGATGTTTTGTCCTTGTTTGACTTAATTCTGCTTCGACCTCAGCCACATTAATTTTGAAATGAATGCCCTCCAGGATCTGTGTACATTTGTCTATAATATGCTGCATTTGCAGAAAACTGGCAGCTGTTAGGTAGCTGATGATATCTGCCAGTTGCAGGCATATCCGCCCTGTGTAACAGAAAGAAAGGAGCTGTTCAAAAACAGTAGGGTTCTTGATGACTGAAATGGAGACAGTACTCATCTCATTCAAAGACATGTGATCCCGGAAATAGGGGGAGCTGGCAGCCAGTACCACTTTGTGAGCCCGAAAAGCTTGTCCTTGCACATTGACCACAATATCACAGAGACGGCCCTGCATGCGCAACTGGTTTAGATGGCTCAGGACAGAGTTGCTGAAGTCAGGAATCTCCAATTGTATGTTCCCACCTTTCTCCATGGTCGTGCCTGAGGGTGCATTCAACCCTGCTAAAAAAAGAAACCATATTCTAATTAATAATTATAATTTTACTCCCTGGATGTTTCCCATTTCAAAAGTATTTAAACATAGTATTTGGTAAAATTTCAAAATCTCCAGGTAAAAAGAAATACCTTCCTTATGTTTAGATGTGGAAACTGAATTACCAACAGGTTTATTGTAAGTTTCACAGGAGGATCCAGTTAAAACTAAAAAGTGGTCTTCAGACTCCTAAAAATTCATCTTATGACCATACTTTCCTTACTAATAAGGTATATAACATCAAAATAGAAAGTTCAACAGAAAGTAGGGGAAAGCACTTTTAAGTGTTAACTATAAGGTACTTGCAGACTGAACATAAAATCTCATAATAACTTTACAACTTTTCTCTGTAGGAGGAAAGCTTTCTGAATAAATGCAGTTCTATGTGGATGGCTTGATATCCCTCTTCTTAGTATTTTACTACATGCTGCAAGAATTACGTTTATTATTTTATATAGGGACTAATATTCCACATGAATGTAGGCTAGTATTTCTAAGCTTAAGAGTCAGAGCCCCCACAAAAAGACTTTGGTTATACGGCTGTGAGGCAAACTCTAGGTTAGGGTAAATTCCACAGCTGTGCCAGGATTCAACTTAGATGCACAGAATGTGGAAGTTCAGTTGTCAGAATTAGGAAACGTGGGTAAATTTGCCAAATTCGAAGTTGGCAATTTCAAGGTGGTGATGATACTTCGATCCTGAAATTTAGTTCTCCAGATCCAATGGAAAAAACCAGCATTTATCAAGTATGGCCAACATTTTTCCATTACAATATTTTAAAAAAATAGCTGAAACATTAAACCTGAAGCTACATACAAAATAGTTGAAAGTACAATTTCAGCTACTGAAAGTACAAGTTTGTATAAATCCCAACAGGAAGACACTTACTTGAGCCCAATGTACATCCACTATCTATACATTTATATTACAGTTACACCACATCTGAAACTTCAGGATCTTATTCTGTCAAGCTCACAGTCCTGCCCTGAATTAACAACAAACTTATTACAAAGGGAAGTGTATACACTGTTTTCAAGAATCAACTTTAGCCAATCTGACCTTTTTCCAAAGCGTTATTGTTTGTTTTGAAACTTTTAATCCAATAAGAGCCTCTGTCGACGCCATCATGAATTCAGATGTGTTTATTTTGGAGCCTAGACCAGCGCCTTTTTTGTTTGCTCTTTCCGGCAATTCCCCAGTGAGGAAGCCCCTGGAGTAAAGTCTTTCGCTACCGTCGGCACTGGAGGGGTGAGAGCTGTAAGAGGGAGAATCGGGAACGGCATGGGGTTGGCCACTCCAGCACTTGAGCAGCTTTCCTCTGCGTTAGGAGGCATGGGGAGAGGGTAATTGGATGAAGGGCAAAATGTCACTGAGGAACTTTGGAGAAGAGGGGGACAAGGCGTCGGGCGGGGGAGCCAGCGCTCAGGTGAAAACCAGGAAGGGGGCGGCGCCCGGGGACCCGCTCCAGGTGGCGGCGGGCGGGGAGCCGCCGGGAGGTGGGTGTGCGTATCTGGGTGTGTCCAGCTGCGGTGGGGGAGGGGGCAGCCCATCCCGGGGTCCTGAGGGAGGGGCCCCGCGAGGGGGCGGGTCCGGCAGCTCAGCCCGGCCGGGGGCCAAGGAGGTGGAAGGTCGCCCGGTGCCTGGAGGCGGGGTGAAGGAAAGTAGTGAGCGCCCCAGGAGTGCGCTGCGGCGGAGAGCGGACGACGTGACCCCGGTGCAGGGCAGTGGGACTAGGGTGTGGGGCCCGAGTCCAGTCAAGGAGCAGCACCTACCTCCGGGGGTGGAAATGGGCCGGAATGGGCCGGAACACCGTCCCGGAAGTGAAACCCCCCACCCCCTCCCACGAAGCGGGCGACGTGCCGGAAGGAAATCACTCAGCCTTACACCGCCCCCATTCCCCCACCCGCAGAGCTTCCCTTGCCTCGCGCCCCCTCCCCTCTCTGCTCTTCTTCCTAAATCGGGAGGAGGGCGGGAGCCCGGTGTCTTGGTCATGTCTCCGCCCACAATGGCGAGGAAGGGCGGGGAAAAGGGGCGGGCTTATGGGGCAGGAAGAAGGTGGTGCTGGAGGAGGGGAAGATTGAGGGCGGCTAGGGGGAGGAGCCGAAGCAGTCGCTGCCGGGAGCGTGCGTCATGACGTCACCAAAGAAAACTCTTATATACGGGAGCCCAGGCACCATTACGTCCTTTCGAGGTAGGAGGCCGCTTTGATTTGGTAGGTAATGTCTTTGTGAATGTCGAAGGCTTTCGGGCCCTCCAGCTCTTGTCAGTTAAGGTCACACTAAACTGACTTCTTAAGCCACTCGCGCGCCTTTGCAGGGCTCACAAGCCGAGGATGGTCGGGGATTGCACATTTGGTAGGCGCGACCTAAGCTGTGACTATATTGTTCCGGTAGAATTGCGGGAAGCCTCGGCTCTTGTGCCCTGCCTCTGATGAATCCTGTGTTGGTAGGGACATCTGAGAGTGATGATGAATGCCAACCGCTCTGATGGTGGCACATGCCGAGTCACCGGAGTAACCTATTGTTAGGGCCGTGGTCCGAACCTCCAGCCGCCCGCTCTCAGGAAAGGCTGGCGGTGGTGGTAGTCCACCTTTAAGTGGCGGCATTCCGCAGTGCCACCAATATTTACATTAGCGGTCCTTTTTTCTTTTTTTGAGACCGAGCCTTGCTCCTTCACCCAGGCTGGAATGCAGTGGCGCGATCTCGGTTCAATGCAACCTTCGCCTCCCGGGTGCAAGCAATTATGCTGCTTCAGCCTCATAAGTAACTGGGACTGCAGGCATGCGCCCCACACTCGGCTAATTTCTGTATTTTTGGTGGAGACGGGGTTTCACCATGGGGGCCAGACTGGTCTTGAACCCCTGACCTCAAGTGGTCCACCAGACTTGTTCTCCCAGAGTGCTGGGATTACAGGCGTGAGCCACTGCGCCTTGCCCGCAATTAGTGGTTCTTAACTGCGAGTGCAATTCTCCTTTGTAAGGTTAAATGTATCCTTTGGCTGTCGCTAGATAATGAATGGTATGTTACCACCATTGTTAGTTTAAAAACACGACATAAAGAACCGTGGAACAATGAAGTAAAAATTTGTACCCGGTCTCTTTTTAGGTATGGAGCTAGGTGCGGATGCAATGTGGCTCTCGATAGCACCTTATGGATAGGTAAGAATCGGGGAAAATATGGTGGGAAAAATGAAATCTAAAAGACGGTCTTAGCCCGTGATGCTTTAAGAGTAGTGGACAGAAGGGATTTCTGAAAATCTATTCTGAGGCTTTAATGTTAACAGCATTGATATTTAATGTGACTGTAATGAGGTTCATTTTCACTGTTTTGCATCTTTTTGTTTCCTAGTTGTGTCCCAAAGGATGAGAATAGCTGCTGAAGTAAGTTGAAAATTCCCTCTCAAAAATATTGAAGTCACTGGATGTGCCACAATGATGACAGTTTATTTGCTACTCTTGACTGCTAGAATGACGAGAGTCTTAACCACCAATCTTAACTGAGGCACCCAAAATGGTGATTTGGGGAACAGAGAGCACACCTAAGTTCACATCAAGCTGTTTCTTCCCAGGTCCTAAAGAGCAAGCCTAACTCAAGCTGTTGGCACACAGGTGAGAAACCTTTGTTATACTTGTCACACTTTAAGGGATTAGAAAATAGCCAGAGCAATGATGCTTATATACATTAGTGTTTCTCTCCTCCCCTTTTCTATTTTGTTTATTTATTTTTTATTCCTCACCTTTTCAAATGTGAGTTTCTGCTCTCATTTTTTTTTTTTTTTTGGTGACGGAGTTTCGCTCTTATTACCCAGGCTGGAGTGCAATGGCGCGATCTCGGCTCACCGCAACCTCCGTCTCCTGGGTTCAGGCAATTCTCCTGCCTCAGCCTCCTGAGTCACTGGGATTACAGGCACGCGCCACCATGCCCAGCTGATTTTTTTCTGTATTTTTAGTAGAGACGGGGTTTCACCATGTTGACCAGGATGGTCTCGATCTCTTGACCT